CAGCATGAGACGATGTTTATAAAGTGTACATTATCGATATAAACGGATTTCGTTAAAATGTCGTCATTGAATATATGATAGATGGATTCTCCAATATAAATATCCGTTGATTTATTAACTAATGTTTATAGTTAATTAATACAACAACCAGATTAATATAAACAAAGAACTAAATAAACTTAATGAATGATTTGATTATGTTTACATGTTATATAAGATAAACATGTAAGATTTCTATGTAGGAGATCTTCATCATGCAATCAAGACTAAATGTAGTGGAACTAGTAATATCATGTCACAGTTGTTTTAATACTATTTGAATATTAGGTAACAGACTTGAAAGCAAGTGTTAAACAACTTGATACCAGATTGTTAAAAACATATCATCATAAATGAATAAAGTCATTACGAATTGACTGATGATAAAGTAAATATCACTAATATTTTAATTGCACGATCTCTAGCACCTATTTAGTATAATATTCAGCAATCGACTTTAATAAAAATTATAGAAAAAATAGATTAAGAAATTTATTATCTTGAAATGAAAATTTTGTTTTAATTAAAATGGAAAAGAAAAATGGCGCTCGTCTATTGAAATCACTCGAAGCAAATCCTGAAATCGAAGATAACTTTATTTCCAACACGTAAAATACGTATAGTGTATGTTCATAAACTGAAGGTTCTTTGCTAAAAAAACAACGTAAAAATATTAGCCATCCAGGAAATCACACATATTTACGTATGTGTACGCATAATGCCTGTGTGAATAAGAAAATTTACTAGGCCAATCTTTTCAGAGAAAAAAAATTGATCCATTCGAAGTGTCACTTATATTCACGCACGTCTTCACCGGGCCAATTCCTTTTTCAACATATCTGTCATTTGTCAAATGCTTTGATGGATGATATTTCTTGTAATTTATTGAAAAGCAAATAAAAAAACAAATAAGGTGTAATCGGCATATTTTCTCAAGGCGAGTAAAATCGAGGTGACCAACATCCAAACGATTCAGAACAACTTTGAACGTCTGCTAGCAAAACGTATTATCTTGAGAAAAATTTCACTATTAAAAATACATATCCCTCGAAATTAGTATCATCGTCGTTCAAGCCCACTAATTTCGTTATCCATGGAGTGGATTAAAGAGAAAGGATTAAAAATAATGGATAAGACTTGTTAGAAAAATGAAGATATTATAAAACAGAAGCGGTTAGTGCATTTGTACAATTTCCAAGCTTAGAATCATTTTCACTGCAGTCAACTTTGAAGCATCTCTTTGGCTTTTCGCCAAATTCGTAATGACATTTAAAATAAACCATCCCCCGAATCATTCCAAGATTGTGTGCTCTCCAAATTCCAAAACTTAACGAAAAGTAATTTTAATTGAAAATATTCTTCGCATTAGTAATGTAAATTATTGATTGGCGTCGGGGCGACCATAATCAATGTATATATATATATATATATATATATATATATATATATATAAGCTTATTTTTTCGAAATTAAATAATAAAATTGCAACCTTGTTGAACACCATTAGTAACTCTTAAATTGATATTAAATTGTAAAATGTAAACCTAACGTTCCATTTTAGTTGCAATAAGGCTTATGATATTTAAAATTAATATATTTTAAATTGTGGTGTTGTAGATGTGTATTTTATATAAACGTTATTTTGGCAATATTTATATTGGTTATAAATCTAATTCAAAATAGTTAAAATTATTATTTAATTACCGTAAATATTAATTATCTACGAGTTTCCGACATAAATAATAATATTTACACATGAAGGAAATATTATATAAATATTTCCCGTTGCAATTAGATTCTATGTAAATTTTTAATGAAAGACCTCTCTTAATAAATAACACTGTTATTTATCACGTTTTTTAAATCAATCAATCAACACACACACTAATATTCGTTCTGATTATACATATATTGTAATTTTTGCTCGATTTTTCTGGGTGCGTTCAATCAACCAATATGGTAATATTTTTATTGTCAATAAGAACTATATTAATATTCATATGAAAAATCATTTATTTCACAAACAAACAAAATCAATAATGAATTCTGAATAATAAAATCGGTTTATTGAATTTTAATTGAAATAAAATTATTAAACTGTTAAAAATAAATCATCAATAGAATAAACATATCTCTAAATACGATTTGCATGTACTTGTCCGCTGATTGAAAAAAAAATAACAGATAACATTTTTTTATTGAGTTTGTTAATTTTTTCACTACATTTAAATTTTGTTACACAAAAAAAACAAATACGAATAACAAAACAGACAACACAATTATTTAGCATTTATATACTTTAGAACTTTATTTTTAAGTCTACTTTCAATTTAAAAATTATTTATCCTTGTATGAAAAATTCAATCGCAAAAGAAAAGAATAAAAAATGAACTAAGTTAGTAATATAAGATTATCATCATTATCAGGTATAGAAAATCAATCAAATAATTACTACTATTCTTCAATTTATGAGTAGAAATAAAGTATAAGCATTCATTCCTGAAGATTTTTGAATTACTTATTTGATCGAATATTAATAAAATATGCGTTAAAATATTATGAGTTACAAATTAATATAATTTGGTAACAAAAACTATTGAGCATTAGTTTAGAATTTCCGAAATTTTCACTAATTCAGGCAGTTGTCAAAACATTTTTCATTTGCACAATTTTGAATAAATTTATATTTTTATCAACGCATTGATAGTGAAAGAATAATATACTCGTATATATATATATATATATATATATATATATATATATGTATATAATATGGTAAATACTGCTACTAGACATAAGTTACACCCAAGATGAATAGAATCGCCATATATTTTCAAACTTTTATCCCATGTTAACTTTCTTCCAAAGAATTATTACAACGAGCGACTTGCTTCTCATGAAACTTTTTCAAAAAATATTATTTCAAAGATTTAAAATAAATAATGACAATTATTAAGCAATGTCAAATAAATAAACAGAAGAATTTATGGCTGAAAGAGGAATTACTTGAATCGAAATTAAGTTACTATTTACTCTGGAAATACAACAACTTTTGTTCAATGTTTTGATAAATTTATTTGATTTGGAAATATAAAGACACACACATATAATCCAGAGAAAGTTCAAAAAGGAGAAGCGCATTTATAACGTTTATAAAATTTGTATGTGTTTATAAAAAGCAGTTTATCATATTATAAGGTGACCATACGTCCCGGTTTAAACCCCCGTCAGTCCCTGGTTTCTTCCTTGTGTCCCTTTTTTTAAAGCAATGTTTGTGTCGGACTTAGATCTTTTGTCCCGGATTAATTACTCAAAAAATATTTGAAAGTAATATGTGTAACAAGAATTAGATAATTGCCGAATGCAAAATTCCGGGTTATAATAGCCTCACACATTAATTTCGAACTTTTATATTCAATTTTACGAAACTTACCAAAATAATGAAATAAAACTATTTGATAATTCTTATAGCAGTCGATGTTCAGTGTTTGCAACGTGGCAGTAGAAATCATAGAACGATGGCACTTAGAACTTGACTTCATTGTTGACCAGAGAAATTTTTGCGTTTTATACAACTATGAGTGCACATCTGGAGACTTAAAGAATTACAAACTTCCAAAGATTTTTGTATTGACTTCAAAATTTAGGAAGAAGACAATGCTGAAATAGATCCTTTTTATGAACTTACAGTGCGCGGTAAGTTTATTCTATTTTACACAACGTCTAATTTTTATCAAATAATTAAAAATTTTTAGTCATCAGAAATTTTTAATGAGGTATAGATTTTAGGACCGTTTAGAGTTAGAATAAATCATAAAGTAATTTGTATTTGTCCGCATGAAAATGAACAGTACAACATTCCCTCAGTCCTAATCACAGTCTCTAGCAGGAGTACTTGTACTAATGTGCAGAAGAAATATAAATTCCTTAGGATTTAGACGATTCCAATTCAATCATTCGTTGTCAAATAGTATGTTTATATACCCTATTTATAAAAGACGTTGAATATTGTTCAATGGCTCCGGGACGAACAAAATAACAAAAAAAAAAGAGTGCGCGTAAGGTTCACACGAGATTGAAGTAAAACTTATTTGCTACTGTACAAGATGGCATTTAAGTAGAAATAAATATATCATATAACAATTTTGAATAATGTTTATTAGTAGGTAACACTCGTGATGCACACATTTATTAGTGTCATTAGTGTATTTATTTAGTAGATAATTGAAGTAATTGCTGATTAATAAAAGTGGATTATGTTAAACAACGCCTAAACAAATATTGTTTTCGTATCTTCACTCATCATGTAATAATTGTGTTTGAAGAACTTCATTTAATTAAAATTAACATACATTCATTGACTGATGGTATTTCTTTTACTTTTTCGCTGGCGATATAATCTCATTCTTGGAACAGTTGTAATATTTGTTTCATCTAAAAAATATTTTCCATTTCAATAACTTCAAAGATTTATAGAAACTACGAATAATATAGGAATAATTTCTAATCAATATACTTACGTTTAATACACGTCACAAAGGTTTAATTTGTTTTGATATTTTCAAGGAACAGGGTAAAATATTCTTCTGATTCAGGCATTTTTCATTAAATCAAGATTTGTACTACGATGTAACTTTAAAATGTTAATTTATTTATGCCGATTTGCCGGTACGCATACAACGACACATCTCTATTCATATACGCGACGACTAATCACAATCGACTCGTATAGAAATGATATCACCAAGAGCGAATGATGAATCATTGGCACTCGAATCTTATCTTATTTTATCTGCCGTAACGCACTTCCGTTGCATTTGTACAGATTTACACCCTAGTCGCACATAAAGAAGTTTTACTTCAAAAACATGGAAAGTCAAGAAATACTTCAAAGTTTAAAGTTGTCTGCATTGAAATCAAAATTTACCAAATATGTTAAAAAGTATCCAAAAGTGACTTACATATAACAGTTAGCCTGGCATTGGCTCGGACGGATGCATGGTATTTGGCAGGTCCAACTTGGCATTGGTATTCAGCATCGTCTTCTATGGACGCGTTGCTGATTCGAAGATTGTAGACGCCCTGGGACCTGTCGCCCAAGACGGCGTAACGAGGAAATCCGACGATCACGTCTGAAAATCCTGCAAAATAAAGAGAAGTAACATTAGCAATAGAATAGAATTCTTGTCGATCAAGCTCACTGAAAGTGCAAAAGAAAAATTATACTGGAGCAAACACAACTTGAACACAGATCAGTTGAAGAATATTGGTAACATTTATTTTCAAATATGTTAATCGTTTTTGTATTATTGCTGCTTATTCCAGATTATTGGAAGATTTTTTTAAAAATAAATAATGATCGATTAATCAAGAAATATGTAAATTTATCTAAAAAGAACTTAAATTCCTTGTTGTACACCACTAGTCATTATTTCTTTCACATTGACATTATCCTGAATAGATTCAGAAGATTCAATACTGTTCAGTTAAAAATAACTTGCTTAAAGAATATTCTGATGAGAAGTCGTCGGAATTCTGAGAAAGGTATAACAGTCAGTTTTTCATTCATTTTCAACAAAGTTAAGAAAAAGAGTTAATTGGAAAGTTATCAATTACCCTTATATAAATATGATTCTGCAGGAATCCATTTTATATCTTGTGTTTATATATAGTTTAATTTGAAATGAGTAGAAATCAATCTTATTTACTGAGGATAGTATAGACTTTATGCATATTTATACATGGTTAATAAAGTTTGGAAAGTAAATTGTAATAAAGAGAGAAAAAATGACTTGGGTTTGTCATTTATTCGTCGACGTCGTTTATTCTCGGCATCGGAAATTGCACCGATGCCAGTCGCTCTAACATGAGAAACCACGTAGAATATAAGTATTACATGTATAGTGTAATTATGTTTTTCACATCAAATAAATATGCATGCAATGATTCACAAAGAAAACTAGTTCTCACATACTCCGAACTCGGTTCCTTCGGAAGGGGATAACGATCTTCACTTTGTCTTCAATCTCTTTTCCAATAATGACTCAGGATGGTATCACACGAACGAAAGACGACGATTTATTTAAGAGTTTTAATTGTAATATAATTAATACAATAATAATACATAAAATTATTGCCGTTTAATTCAAATTTAAGGGGGAAAACACATTTCTTAATTATCTAATAATTATTAATTTCGTTACAGTTAGTGAATGAAATTGTAGAAAAAAAAATAATTTACCGAACGCTGTAAGAAAACGGTCCTAAATTTTGTGTCTAGAGTCTGTTATTTGTAATATGAATAGTTATCATTTATAAATACAAATGCATCACAAACGTAAGTCATGAAGATAAGTTATATATAATGAATGCATCATGCGTCAACAATTAAATTTTATAATTAACCAAGAAATAAAATTCATTATATTTTTATTTTGCAAAATGCAAATTTCTATAATAGCGATCATTATTATAAAAATTCACCTGATAGTATTAATTAATAGAACAAGAATCCTCCTTTGTAAAAGTTATAATTAACAGAAATTTCTTGGGAATTTCTTATCATTGGAATATAAGTCTGAGGTATTATATGCAGATATATTAAATTAAGTTCAAAAGAACTCTGAATAAAAATTTCATTATGCTCGTAGAGACTTGATAAAACAAAAATCAATATCAAGATGCTCCAGGCACGTTCAAGACGTTTTCGAATAGATTTAATAAAATTCGTAATCATTTTTTAAATTCCTAATACTCTTTTATAAGAATACGGAGATGAAATTCATATAAAATTATGGACTTCTCTATATTTTTTCAAAATTCGTTAAACTCTTTGTTGATAAAGTAACGCCATTTACTACGTTTTAAATTTAAGTGACATTTTTAGTTAACATTCGAAGAAGTAAATTTATAACATCAATTTCTTAATATAAAACAACATTACTTTAATAATTTTTTTTTAATCAATATAACTAATGGAATATAATATAATTCAATGATGTGATTTATATAATTTTATACACTTTAAAATGAAGCGATATATTATTTGCTAATTTTAAGCAATTTTAGTAAAATCATTTTTGCAGTTAAAACTTAACTAAAACAGGGTCTTCGAAAATCAATAGTACCTATTTCATCTACGATTTAGTACAATAATATGTTGAATTAAAATTTATAAATTTTATGTTTCTAAAATTAATTTTATTAGGCGTAAGTGGCATTTTGCATTTAGGCAATTTGCATAAACTTCAGGGTATGTGTAAATACTCGATTTTATCAATAAGAATTTGATTTATATCAGGTTGTCAAATATCTCCCTTCCGCTTTTTTGCTCTTGGTTTATAATACAATTTGACAACCTATTATAAGTCCAATGGTCATTTTTGGGCATCAAATGCCTATTTATGAAACTTTTAGGTTCGGTGAATCTGTGAATCTCCGAAACCGCTAGACCTGTTTTCCCCCAAAACTAGTTATTTCTTAACTCCATCAACATAAATTAAATATTTTTTAAACCATTCAAATCGAATGCTCTATTCTATCAAAAACTAAGTAGAAATTACAATTTCAATACAATTTTTTGTACTTTTTGCTTCCTTTCTCCGAAACAACCAGGCATGCCTTACCCAAAAACTAATCAGCAAGTTTCGCCGTCGATGGGAATGTAATGTTTTTTTGGATCATTGAGATCGGTTCATCTGTGCTTTAGAACTACACACATACTTTTTTCTTTAAGGTATGCCAAAATGTTCAGAACATTTTGAAAAGTAAAGATCCAACAATTAATTTTCGTTGTTTTGCGATTACTATAACTTAACCTACCCCTTGTATAAAAAATCCTTATGAAAATCATTTTATAAAATTCGTAGAAGAGAATTGAACATTTTTTTAAACACATATATAACTCTACGCCTAAATCGTATTCATATTACTTGGTGATTAAAAGCAACACTTTTCCCAGTTGTATTTATTTTAAGAAAATCCAGATCTTTATCTGGATGTTTCACGGATATTATTTACAAATGAATTAATTAATCACTTTTTTGCAAATTAATAATTAACCAGAGGAAACTATTGCTGGAACTGCCCGTACCAAAAATTATTTTTTTAAAAATGATTTAATTTTTTGCAGAACTTTGAAGAAAGCGATTTTTGACAATTTTAATATTTTTGGAAAAATTGACTTTTTTGAAAAATTGGATTTTTTTATAGTTTGAAATATTTTGGAAATTTGATGTGCATATGTCTAATTATCTTTTTTGTCCGCCATATAGCATTTTTTTCACTTTTTTTTATTAGATCTCCGAAACCGCTAGACCTTCCTTTTAAAAAATCTCATCAGTTTTTCATTTCGTCAATACAAATAACATGTTTTTGAACCATTCAAATCGTACGCTCGAATCTCTCAAAAATTAATTTAGCATTTTTGGCACTTTTTGCCCCGTATCTTCGAAACGGCTGTACTTGCCTCTGCCAAAAACTAATCAGCATGTCTCCTTATCAATGGAAATCCAATGTTTTTTGAATCATTCAAATTGGTTGATCCGTGTTCTCGAAATCGTAGACGAAAAATTACACGCACACACACATATATCCATTTTTTCTAAGGTATGCCAAAATGTTCAAAAACCTTTTAAAAGTAAAGATATATAAAAATTTTCATTTTCGATTTTTTTTACCCTAGAGGAAGTTAATAATGAGAATAATGAGATAATTTTATAATGATAAATCGTATTATTTTACACTTAAAAATTCTAAACATGATTGTTGAATTCTGTTCATCCTGTACAAAAATCACCTTCCACCCTCAGTAGTTGCAGGAAAAAAGAATGTCGTGATATAAATCCGTGTACTAGCGCAACTAAAGAATTCCAACAACAGCAACAAATTGCAACGTGTGACGAAGCTTTAACTGAATTTTATTATTAAACGGGTTTACTTGTAAGTGAAGTTGTATTAAAAATGTATGAGGCCCGTTTTCTTTGAGTTCTGTACTTGCGTAAGCGTCTTGGAGCATTACGCAGCGTTCGAGCAAAAATCGTAAATAAATTATTACACGGAGCCGCTCCCCGGGAGGGTTTTCGTACCCAGAGAAATGTGCCACCATCAGTATGGCAGTAGGTACATGGCACACTAAATGAGGGAAGGAATTATACATAATCAAGGATGTTACATAGACCAGAGTAATGATATGGCTTTCAAGGGTAGGATAGACAAACAATCTAAAAATTTAATTTGCACCACCAAAACTTTCAGTAGGATAGTTTAGGACGCATTGACGTGAACAGTTTGAATAAGATTAGTTTGATAATAAAGTAGCGTAATTGATGATTAGTCTGACATTGAAAATCAATTTTTATGCTATTGCTTAATATTATGATCGCAAAACTTCTTGCATAACAATACAAAACCGTAAATCTGTTAAAAATTACTGAATTTCATTAAGAAACTTCCACCGGCAATGCTTGTTTGTAATTATTCAATAAGTCTATAATATTTGGAAAATTCACATTTATTGGAATACAACCAATAATTTAGTAATAAATTAATCTCTACAAAAATAAGTTTGATATGTCAAATACTAAGTTTAATATATGTTAAATACTATCTTTTGGCAAGCGGTGAGTCTGTTTTTACCAAAAACCAATATAGGCCTTTTTCAGTATCAATACTAATCGAATGCTCTTTGATCATATTAAGGATTTTATTTTTTTACTCAAATCAAGCATTTTACCATTTTACAATTCTGATTAAATGCGCGAACTTTTGATGATGTTACTTTTCAACATACCTTAGCATATTTTTTTAAAGAAGAGCATTTCAAAACCAAGAATTTGAAATTCCTAGTTCAACAAGTAGTCTTAATTCTAAAAAACTTCGGGTAAATGTGTCATTATTTTTGACTGTGATCCCAGAAGTATTATTTACGATTACGGATCCAAATTTAAATAAACAAAAAATATACAAATTAACCACAAAAGTGAAATACGGCCACAGTTTGACCAAAGCCTCAGGTTGCACTTAAAAGCTCATAATTTTCAAACTATATAGAATATTTTTTTCTACTTTTTTCCTGGTAGTTACGATCAGAACTATCACCCCGTTATATATATATATATATATATATATATATATATATATA